GCCTTGGGTTCGGGGGGTGCGGCTGGGCTGGCGCTACACGATGAAAACGTGGCTTGGCGTGGAGTGCCGCGGCGGGGCGAAGAGCGACCCTGGCCTTGGCGTACAATATCTATATATTGCCAGACACCCCAACACCGCCCACACCCTGCCGGCTGGTGCGGGCGCCGCCGCCGCCACAGCAGGGTATCTACATCCCAGAACACGGCACAAGGTCCAATAACAGATCGGAATAAAGCTACTGTGCAAGAGAGAGCGAGTGGAGTTTAACTTCTCCCCCTCTTTTTCTTTTCTTCGAGTCGACAGCAGGCGTGCGATACATTATTCGCCAACGGGCGGCGCGGCGGCGCCAGAGGTGTGAATGAACAGAACGGACACAAAGCGGCTCTCTCATTGACGACATTCTAGCATTGTGATTTAGCCGTTGATTTTTATGTTTTTTTTAGAATTTATTTTGCAGTTATTGAGCTTTTTGCATCATTCCAATCATCGTGTGTGTTATTGCAATGTATGCAAACACGCTGCTGCTGCGCCGCCGCCGGGCGGACGCTGCCTCCTGTGTAAACTGGCCAAACTGGCGTGCGTTTCGCAGTAAAAAACCCTGCGCCGTCGATTCGCAAAAAAAGGCGGCGCCGCCTTCCCCCACAGCCTCCCCAAATATAATATTATAGCAAGACGTATCTTTATCAACGCCGATCGGCTTATCAAAACTGGAACAGGAACGGCAATCGTCAATCTTTATCAAAACTGGATAACGAGAATCGGCAATATTTATCAAAACGGGAAATTTTACCTTCGGGTAGAGACTGACCACAAGGGACTGTCTAAAAAGAGAGAGAGAGAAGGGGCGGGAGAGAAAATGATAAAACAGGCGCGCGGCAAATATAATTATTTTGAGCGGGCGGGTCATAACCAAAACCAACGCTGTTGCACAGGGATGACACTGTGGGGGTGGCGGCGGGCGGTGGCACGTAAACAAACGGAAAGAAAGTTGGGAAATAAAAGAGAGCCGGCCCGCAGACGACGGGGATCCCCGGCCAGCCCTCTCGCTCGCGCGCACCCGCGCGCAGCATCGCGCGGTCCCCCTCGCACACGCCGCCAAACCGCCACCGGCCCCGCCAGGCACGGCCAACTGAAGGAAATAGAGTAAATAAAAAGTTGGGCGGACGCCACGGCGGGCCGGGCCGGGCCGAAAGGGCCGTGTGGATCGGGATCAGCGTGGGGCCTTGCCGCGGGCGGGCCGAGCCGGCAGAGCCCTCGAGCCCCGCCGCGCCGGGTCCAGAAGCGTAGCCAGACCTGTGCGAGCGAGAGCGGAGCACGGCTGTGAGGGGAGAGCGAGCGAGAGGCGGGGCGGGGTGGTCGCCCACACCCTTGGGTGAACGCCACTGCCGCGCCTTCGCTTCGTCCCCCCCCCCCGCCCCCCCTTCCCCCACTGAGGGATCTTCGGCGGCGCGTTCACACGGCACCAATGCATCGGACTTGGCCAAGCATTCGGCTTTCTCGCCGGCTTTCCGTCGGCTCTGAGCGAAGCGAAGCGGCGAGCCGTTCGGAAGGGAGCGGGACGCCGCCAGGGCGGGGCGGGCCGGGGCGGGGCCGCGCTGGGCCAGGTGACCCACTGCTGGGGTCTGGGGTGTAAATTATCTCGCCAGCAACAGCGGCGGCCACGGCGCGGGGCGGCGCGTCAAACCCACGGCATGCTACGTCTTCATTTTCGAGTCTTATTGTGGACCATCGCCGTACGACCGTCTCGAATGGGGTTTGTGGTCCCGAGAGTAGGGCGGGGCACGACGGGGCGGGGCGAGAGCGAACGGGGCGGGGGAGGTCATCATCGCGCCATCCCTACGGCGAAGCAAGGCGATTTAAATCAATTCTCGATGTTCGGTTGTGGAAACAAAAAATTCCCTCTGGTTTCTCTTGAAATTAACGAGAAATGCACTCACCCGTTGGGGACGACGGTGCTCAGCTCGTCCAGCAAGCTGTCGACGGAGGGCCGAGCATTGCTCACCGTCCGCGTCGTCTTCACGTGCGGCTCCGTACCGTTGGCGGTGTCTGCAGAAACACACGCAATAGTCAGGAATATTCTTCACTGTGAAAAGTTTTGTTGGAAATTTCCAACAACTTACTGAAAAATTTGCATTTCGAACAGTTTGGAAAATTTGAAATACAAACAGTTTGGAAAAATGTTTCTCGTAATTTTCCAACGAGTTCGGAAACACAATTTCCAAAACAGTTTGGAAACATAAATTCGCATAAATTTCAAAACTCTTTGGAAAATTCTCACGAACTTTTGACTAACATCAACTTTGTTGTTAATAAACCCAGTTTTAAATCGTACGTTTCCGTAGGAAATTTCTCAGAAAAGGACTATGGAATTTTTTTCCTAACAATGATTTAAAAAATGAACGTTTTCAAATTATTTAGATAGATTTTTGTTGCAAAATTCCGCCCTTTTATTTACAGTGTTGCAGAAATTTGAAATCCTACTTGATTTTTATATAGTACTTACCGCTAACCCTCTCCATGGTCGTGGTGGTGGTGGAGCCCGAGTACCTCGCGTTGCTCAGGTCCTGCAGCAGCGTGTCCAGCTCCGAGAGGTTGTTGTTGAGCGCGCTGCCCTTGGTGGTCGACGAGTAGCTTTTGGTGGTCGTCATCTCGTTCAGCATCGACTGGTTCTGGTAGGTGGGCTGCAACAGAATTTAAAAAAAAAAATAAAAATAAAATTAGTCGCTCTCTTTATAGATTTCTACAAAAACATAGTGAGGGGGGGGGGGTAAGTAGGATTTAAAAACCAGTCTCCTGATGAAGAACACACGCTTGTGTGTTGACTATTCTTTCAACAAACAAGAAAAAAAGCCAGGCACGAGACAAAAAGGGAAAGACAGACGCGTCATTAGGGCGCTTCGACCTACTCCTATCCCACTCGCTCCTCACCGTCACCTCACTAAAAAGCAGGGGGTGTGCTTAATGATACCAACGCAAATAGACCTGCGGGCACAAAGCCCACACAAACACACGGCCTTAATGTAAATCATTGCAGCGAAACGCCTTCTCATGGCAAAACAAATATCACGAAAATTTGGCGGACGCAATTTTGTTTAAGTGAGGTGTGGATGACCACATATCATCAAAGTCGGGAGACGGCCAGGTCCCATCTCATTCGCCCCTTTGGTGCTCTCACCTTACCTCCTTTATGAGCCTTTTCCTGTGCCAATAGCACCACGCCTTGCCACGCCTACCCCAGACACAAGCCCATAAAAAAAACTTGGATCACTGGCGCGATCCCGATGCGATAAAGAACGAGGTCGAAATCCCTCGGTACCTTCTTACGCGTGGAGAAAGAAGAAATAAATGGAGACGTTAAAAGCAAGGAGACGCGTGGGCTGAGCACAGGCGTAAAGTCTAATTGACTTTAGTGTTTGGTCAGTGAACTCCACGGCGTAAAACCCCCCAGTAACTGGGGAGCACAGTAAAAGCAGTCGCCGGTAGGAGTAGAGGTCCCTTGCTCTGCACAAAATTAAAACCCGCTTTTTAAACTAAATAAGATTAAAAAAACAACAAAAAACCATTCCCTATCGCACGTGGGTGGCAAACAGTTTATAGGACGGCGTTTTCATTTTTTTAAGCTGATTACGACTGTCTGCCAAGTTTTACATAGACACTCGCCGGCCAACAGTGCCGTACCTGATGGAGCCTCCTCTCACACTCTCACCCCAGACAGGTGCAAAATATCGGCGGCGCATGTCTTTAATTGCGGCTCGGCTCGAGCACCGCCAACAGGCAGGGTTACACGCTACGGATGCAACATTAACGCTACTTCAACCACTTTTAAAAGGAAACACTTTTTGATCTCTGCACTCCAAAAACACATGTTTATGAATCAAGACTATTTCTTAAATCAGCAACGCAAGTGCAACGGTGTGTAATTCAAAGAAATTTTCCATATGTAAAGGCATGATGAAAGAAATGAACGAGTTGTCTCGAAGCAGACGCTTGAGGGGGGGGGCTGGTACGAAAAACTGATGCCTTTTGATTGATCGAGTCTCACTAAGGGATCAACCAGAAACTCTACGTCCGTCATTAGCCGTTCAGCGTATGTAACCTGTCATGGCGCCTGGTAGCAAGGCAACATCTTGCCTGCGATGCATGCGTACATTGCGGGGTAGCCTACCCGGAGTCTTGAAGGCGCCAAGCTCCCTCGGTTTACTGAATGGACTAAGAGAAATGGACGTACTTCTGGACGATCCCTAGACGAGGTAAATACATGGAAATAAGACAGCGTGTACCAAACTATATCATAGTAGTTCCTCTTGTTCTTTTCGCCCAAGTGTTTAGTTTGAAACAAACCGGTCCGAGGGGGCAAGAACTCCGGGAATCATGTGTACACCTGCCTGGGAATCATCACGATAAAAATTGATCGAAATCAACAGAAATCGCTTAAACTGAGCTGGAAACTAGCGGAACTGGTACAAATCCGTCGAAATAAGCGTTTTCTACCACTAGAAAACCTGAGAAATAAATATAAGCGGGCAGGAATCTCCAGGAATCACTGGGAATCAAGTATTTCGGGAATCATGTGTACACTTCAAAAGGGAGTTATTGCCCCCTCGAACCGGTCAAAATTGACACATGCATACATATTGACGGAGGGTCCCTTTTCCTTTTCTGCCCCCCAAAAGCCCGAGTCAAGTGACATCAGTAAATCCTCGTCCGATGTACCAGGCAGGAGCAGTACCGGCCGGACCCCGCAGCCGCCCACCCCGGCCTTGGGGGCTGGCAAATACAGTCACGCAGCCAACTGCATAGTGGACAAGCTTGTTCCTTCAAGTGAGAATTTGGCGAGCTGTCCGTTCGCCACAAATCATAAACACCACCGTTGGGCGCTGCTCGATATGAGCCACAGCCGGCGTTATGAAAACCGTGGCCGCGGTAGTGGTGACGGCGCCGGGCCGAGTTACTTCAGATCCTAAAACCAAGTATCCCACAATTGATCCGAAGGCTGGGTTTAGAGGTCCGGTCAAGGTCCGCCTAATGTAGACGTCGCAGACTGCCCCGCTCGCGGCCCCGCCCACCGCCATGGTGGGCGCTTCTCTTGTTTTATCACTCCCACAACCCCTCAAGGTCCCGCGGCCCCGCGGCCGTTTCAGCCACTTTGGCTCGGCGCGGCCCTCCTTCATGGCTCGTCTACGGTTTCAGCTGAAGTGCGCCTAATAGACCCTCGCGACCATCACAACACGGATTATTACTGCCCGGTTGGCGGCCGTGCCCTCGCCTCGTTAGCAAGCGCCATACGGTTTCGCGCCATAATTTTTAAAAAAAGAAAAAAAAAATAAGAGGGAGAGCATGATAACTCATCGCACTCATGCACTGGCGCTGCACACACGACAACACACTTGCAATGTAATTAGGACGAATGATGAATTCGCGCCGACGACAAACTGACCAGGGTGGGTACACACTTACTGGCCCGGCGCCAGCGGCGGCACAGCATGGCTGGCTGGACCCTCCTCCTCCACTGCCGAGGGGCGCGCTGCCGGGCGGCTCCGGCACAGGCGCACAAATCAAAGCGCTCAAGGCGTCGTCGGTAAAGAGAGCACTTTAAGAAGTGTTAAGTGCACTTTTATTATTGGTTCACCTGTCGGAGAGAGGGAGAGAGCACCAAACAGCACTCGGTGCCAGCTCAAACTTCGTTCCGGTTTGGCGACAGATAAAAATCGCAAACGCGTGCTCCTCGGCCTCGCTAAAAGACGTCTCTGTGGCGGCAGGTAGCCCGACCATCCATCAAACTTTCATATTTTACAAACCCAACCCACACCACCCTTTTTGTAAAGAAGTTTTTAAAATAGCGCCCTCTCTGCCACGGTCGATAAATTTGGCACCCGGCGTTCAAGTCTCTGCCGTCGCGCCCGTCCGGCCGCCTGAATTGAGGCAAGCCTTTAAAACTTTCATCCCTTTAATTCGAGCGGATCATCTCAAAGATACGAGTAGACACAAAACCTCGCGTCTTAAGCCAGCCGGCGACAGGGACAGGACAATGAGTGCATTACCATAAAGCTCCGCATAACCAGCCACCCTCTGTCAGTCGATGGTGCAGCTGTCGCGTTTGGGACCTTGCGTCCTTACGTAACGCAACTGTTGCATATTTTAACACATTGTCAAAATTAAAAAGAAAATGAGCCAAGCCAGCATTTCAAGGGAAAGAAAAGATAAATGGGAAGAACGTGCTACAGACCACGGTCTTTTTCAACCTTTTTCTAGACCGTGAATCAGAGGGCCTTGCTTTGACCCCGATACATACTCACACCCTCCAACACATACACACTCGGGGCTTGCGGAAATACCTCATGTCACGTCGCCGAGAATGCCCCGGCCCGATTGTTAGTGCGAGCTTCTACCACCTGGCGTAAGTAGAGCGCGCCACGGGTGCGACAACTGTAGGCCGCGGTCGGCGTGGCGTGGCGGGGCGTGGCGTGGCGTGGCGGGGCGTGGCGGGGCGTGGCGGGGAGTGGCGGGG